GGGGGGTGTTGGGAAGAAGAAACACGTGTTTGCAAAGAGACCACAAAAGGCCATTTTAAGACATGTTTAAACAAGTTTCTCATCAGATTTAGTGCTATATCATGGGTCTTGAGGACAGAGGGGCCACAGATAGTCATCTTGACATTTTTTTAAATCAAAGAACTTCCATTCACTCCCAATCCCCCCAAACCTGAAAAAAAACAAACGAAACCAAACCAAACCACTGACAAATGAGTCTTTTCAATACAACTGTGGCTCCTATATGTCCTCTAAAGGAGAAAAAACCCACCATTTTCTCTGGGTCTTTTTCAAGTATTTCTTGAGTTTTTGAAAGAAACCTCATGGAAAACCATCCCTTTGTAACTAAAAAGATGTGAAGTGCTTCTAGGGAAGCTCAGAGGCTGAAAGTGCCCTGTTGATCTTGACAAAGCTTGAGAACTACTGGACTGAGCAAATAAGTACTTTTGGGAAGAATTTATGCCCCTTGCCCCCTTTTTTTTTTTTTTGGTCCCAAAGAGCAAGGCCAGCAGTGAGTGCTTAGAAGAAATAATGGTGCCAGAATTGAGGGTATAAAGGGAGGGACAACCATGAAAGGGGACTGGTTTGGCTCCCTGCCTGCCTGTTACAGTGCTGTAAAGCAGTCAGGTAAAGTGCTTTCCTGGAATACTCTGCTGTTATCATATAGACGGTCGCTGTAAGTAAATTTGTCCTGCTCAAACTCAAAAATCTCTTCTGAGTACAATATTTTCCTGGGCCAGCCAGCAGGTAACTCCCCTGTCCCGTCTCTTTTTGCTATAAAACCCTTCTTTTGGCAATTTTACTTGCAATACCAACCATTTGTGATGGCCTCCTTACCTGTCCAACCCCTATTTTCACTTTATCACCCCCACTGACCCTTCAGGTCCACAGCCACTGCCTCTCTGCTGACCACAGGAAGAATATTTTGGGCAGCTCCTTCCCAGTATTTCCTTCTGTCTTCCATTGTCAAGATTCAGGACTCTTGCAGCCCTCCTGTGCCTCCATGTGCTGTGTGTTGTGTTGTCTCAATTGCTCTGCAGGTTGATAAATGTCTCTAAGTGTCTCATTATGCAATTAATTTCAATTGCAATTCCCATCATCTCTTCCCTTCTGCAGGCATGCGACCCAGCAGGAGACTAATAAAACCATCACCACCAGCACCAAAGCCATCAAGCAGCTGTCTGAGATTGTCAGAGGCTCATCCAGGGTATGTGCCAATCCAGGTGATGCTGGGGGAGGGTGATGGGTCTTATGGAAGGAGGAATAATAAAAAAAAGAAGTGGTAGTGGGTGTTTTAAGGCTGTTGAGCTCCATGGCTTGTTATAACTTCCTTTCCTGTGACACAGTAAATGTAGTTTTCACTTATAAATGACCCAGAGGAAAACAACTGCAGAAACCAGTTCTTCTCTCAAAACTGCATCATGTGGAATTGGAAATTGAGAACTCAGCAACAAGCCTTGGCCAGTTCACATTTATCTCAGAGTCTTACTCAGTTTGGGTGAAAATACACAGAAATCATCTGGCTCCACATAAATTTGGCACTGGGTAAAGACTCAGTTGTGCAGTGGGTGCACTGGGGACTGGTGAGTTTGGAATTGTGTTGAAGTGTCTGGAAAAACCAAAGCCGTGGAATACATCTGGATATGACTTTCACTCAGGGCTGTGTGCTGGTAAAAAGGCAGCTTTGGGGAATAATAAATACAGAGTGTGGCCAGATCAGATCAGGACTTTAAGTTGCAAATTACCCCACAAAATCCCTCTGTTATATGGGCAGACTGGGATGTCATCAGTAGGTTCAACTCCTATGAACAGCATTGTCACAGGGTGTGAATGATCCCCATCCCTTGGTCTCCAATGCGAAGATTGGACAAACAGGTTTCTGACCTTCCTACAAAACCCCTTACACTCCAGATATTCCTGCTGAATTTGACCTGTGGTTTGAATTGTGGGGAAGAAGAGAAACATACTGTGGGACCAAACTCCAACTTATATGAGGGTAGAGGAGTTTGACCCACATAAAGGATGATTCAACAACTGAAATGACAATAAGGACAATTCTACTTGATTCTGCCTGGCAGTTTTCTGTTATCTTCTTTCTTCCAGCACCCATATGGTTTCTAAGTCAGGAACTTGTCTGAATTGATGTTTTGTCCTCACTCACTTTCTTGCCGTTTTCCAAAGTCCCATGTTACTCCAGCTCTGTACTCACTGCCCTTCCACCAAGTAATAACAGTGCTCTAAACACACCACTCATCTCTGTCCCAGGTGGGTTTTACAGCCTGGGTTTATGGCACTTGCCAACAGGCAGATGAGATAAGGATTTAAAGGTTGAATCACCCCAGGCTACCTTTGTAACATGTGGAGGACCCTGTGCAATCCAGCCCGCCTGAAACAAAAAATGAATGGGTGATGGTTCACTTGAGAGGATGAGGAGGGAAGCCTGGAATGACTGTTTTCATATGTTGACATCAGACTTGTGCAGGCATCAGCCTTAATACCAGGATAATTTTTAACACGTTACTTTGATTAATGATGGACTACAAGGACTAATTTTTTCCTTTTCTTGCATAATTCCGTCTGAGCTTGATGAAACAGAAGATGCTGTCTCAGAAATGTGGGCATCTGGGCTTTTTTTATGCTCTTTTTGTGCTGATCTCCTGGCTCCATTTTGTGACATAAATTGAGTCAAAAGGGGAATCAGGCAAGGTCACATTAAACCCAATTATAGTGCCACAGAAGAATGTCATTATTTGCCCTTGAAGCCCATGCAGTGTCCACTGGGGACTCTCAGGAGAATAGTTTTTACTGTCACGGGGAGAAAAATTACTAAATTAAAGGGAAAATATTTAAGAGCTGAAGGAAATAGATACACAAACAGTTTTAGTAATATAAGAAATAAACTTACTGCTCTCTATTGCGTTGCATAATAATTTTTTTGCTCCCTGGTCAATTAATTTAACAGATTTTATTTTTTTTTTAGCTCTTCTTTTCTAACACTGTGCAGTTTAAGTAATTAAACCTACAAATTTTGATATAAAGCCTGTAGCCCTCATCCCTTACATAGAATAAATAGTTCTGGTGGGTATTGGCTGCTGGTCAGTAAGTCCCTCTTGGGAATATGGGTAGGACTGCAAACTTTCCTCCCATAAAATTACTCACAGCAGGAAAAGCCTTCCATTAATTTAGAGCTTTCTTAGTCCTTACCAACCCGTCTTTCTGTGGATTGCTTTGCATGCACACGCAGACAAAAAAATGTATTTTTTCCCTTTCTTCCTTATTTTCCACCAGCCCTGCGCTGCCAACAACGTGCACTGTGGGAGTTTCTCTGACTTCCAATGAAGCTCCAAGTGCTGCTTCCAATGAAGCTCCAAGTGCTGCTGGAGCTATTGGAGTCAGGATGCCCAACTGAGCAAATTGAGAGTATTTCAGGAGCAAAGATGTTGCTTTAAGTGGATCAGTGGGATACAAGGCCGGAGATTGACGTAAAATAGCACATGGCTATTTTAGGGCTTTGTTCCAAAATAACCTCCAAGGATGTAAATAGACAGGCCTGTCAGGAATTCCATTTTTTTTGGTAGGATGGATGCTGGAGCATGAGATCAGCTCTCCAGGGTGGCAGTTTTATCTTATTTTCCATGTGTAACAAACATAAGGTTTATGGATCTTTATCTATAGAATGGCAATAATGATACTTGCCCTGCTCTAAAAATGGTTTTAAATCTTTAGATGAAGAACTGTAAGACTGGGGTATTCTTCTGTGTGCGGAAATGCTGCCATTAAAAATCGAAGATGTTTATCCCATCCTTTATAAAATCTGCTTTTGTATTCTTAGGCAGTTTTCTGGAACAGCTGAAATGGCTGTAAACTGAACAATTCTGAATTCTGAAATGGCTGTAAACTGAACATTTGTGCTCAGTAACTTTAGCGTAGGTTGGGCTTTGTTTGCTACTTGTATTTTAAGGTGACTTCCCACTTCCTTGCAGTTCATTCCCCTCTGTAAAACCTGGATACATGAACTGCACATGTAAAATCTGAGATGAAGGGGGTAGAATAGTTCCAGGAGAATTTCCATCGCCTGACACTGTTTGGGTTTGGTCACTTCATGTGAGAGCAGAGATTTTAACTCATGTTGGATAGTTACATCAGGCTGACTGGGGTCTTCCTTTCAAGAACACTTTTGTTTAAAATACAGATTAGAATCTTGCTGGAGCAAGCTCCAAACAGAAAGGTGGTGACATCTGGGCTCCTTGGAAAACATGAAGACAAATTGGTTTCTGACAATCAGGTGCTAGGCCAGGCAGAAGGAATGTTGTGGCTGATGGACCTCTCAATTCCAGTAAGTCTCCTACTGCCATCAAATGAGGTGATGATCATCCAAATAAAGGATTTTTATGGGAAGATCCCCTGGGTTATTTTCTCCAGTGCTATACTGAATATGAAAGTGGCATTATTTTTAAGTGCTTTGGCCTGAAAGACCAAAGAATCACATGCTCACTTCCTAGAAATAAAGTCTTGTTACATCCTGGCAGCCCCAGTGAAATGTTTCAGGATACTATCTGTGCCCACCTTGTTTATTTGATGCGTCCCCCCAGGATGATTTTCCAGGGTTTCAGAGACACTCTATTACTTTATTTATCTCCACAGACCTGCTAACCAGCCTTCTCTTCTCCCAAAACAGCAAGAGAGGCTCCAGCTGGACAGGCTGAAGAACCAGCTGTCGGATGCCATCCAGAGATATGGAGCTGTGCAGAAGGTGAGGGTCACTCTTGCTTCCACTCTTCCATCTGTGAGTTTGGGAATGTGTGAAGTGTGAGTGAGTGTGACTCCTGGGAGCCTGGAGCAACTCCACAGGGCTGGTTACATGTGGTTTCCACCCTCTTTTCTTACTTTGTCAGTCAAGAAATCATAGAAAAGACTTTTAAGATCATCAAGTCCAACCACCAACCCAGCACCACCTAAACCATGTCCTTAAGGGCCATATCCTCACATGTATTGAATATTTCCAGGGATAGTGTCTCAACCACTTCCCTGGGCAGCCTGTTCCAAAGCTTTACAACCTTTTCACTTACAAAATGCTTCCTAATATCCGATCTAAACCTCCCATGGCACAATTTGAGAGCATTTCCTCTCATCTTGTTATTTGGAGAAAGAGACCAATTCCCCCCTCACTACAAGCTCCTTTCAGGGAGTTGTAGAGAGCAATAAGGTCCCCCCGAGGGTCCTTTTCTCCAAGCAAAACACCCCCCTCTCCCTCAGCTGCTCCTCACCAAACTTGTGCTCCAGACCCTTCCCCAGCCCCGTTGCCCTTCTCTGGACACGCTCCAGCCCCTCAATGTCCTTCTTGTCATGAGGGTCCCAAACCTGAACCCAGGATTGAAGGTGCCTCACCAGTGCCAAGTGCAGGGGGATGTATCATTGCTTTGGAGCATTCACACACATGGGACTGCAGAACACCTCAGCAGCAGCTGAAAAGAAGAAAAAGTGTGTTTTTGCCAACTGTGTGTCTGGTAGGACTTTCAGTGCTTCATCTGGCTTAGCCTTGATGTTATTTTGGTGTGAATTGGTTGCACAATGCCCTTTTCACCTTTTCTGCTCCCAGAAAATGTGCAGGCAGCTTTGATAATTTAAATATCCACTCCCCCCCCCCCTCTTCTGGCTCTGCTGTGCTATATGGCTTTGCCAGAAAGTTTCTGAGCACGTCTTGTGGTTTGGATCTGTCACCAAGATCAAGCTGTTTAATAAAACAAACAGAGCCTGAACTCCAGCTCCTTCATTTGCTTCTTGCTCACCCTGTTTACCCTGGGGAGGCTCCACTGATGAGCAGATTTGCTTTGCTTTTAAACACTGTAGTAATGACTTAAATTTAGCATCCTCAAACTGCTTCTCTCCCCGGCAGCAGCAAGTTTGCAGATATATCTGGATTAATCAAAAAACACAACCTGGACAAACTCTGGTTCCTTTCTTATTTCACTTTAGTGAGTTTGATCCGTGGCTGCAGCACATGGGAAGGATATATTGTATTTGTACAGGTGTAATGAAATTTGGCTGGCAACATGCACTTAATAATGTATCAATATGCACTTAATAATGGGTCTTTATTTAAAAACCTCTGTGGTGATGGATTTGCCAACACTTGCTGCCTATTCCTTAAAAATAAACAAATAAACAAAAAGATGTACATAAAATTGCACTTGTGTTGCATAATAACAATGCATTATCTCTAGTTTTGTGTCACATTTTAAATTATTTCTCTGTCCTATTCAAGAAACTAAGCGTGGGGTCTTTAAATGAAATTATTTTTTCTGTTAAATGAGAAGTTGGAATGATTTGGGTAAAGAGCTCCACCCCCATATACACACACACACTTTTTAATGCCTTTTTTTCCCAATGCTCATGAGTACAATCCATCAGAACTGCACGTACAGGTTTGATTTCTTTTATTTTAAAAACCTGTCATCCATTCAGAGGTGCCAAAATTAACCAGTGCAGTTTGTGAATGCCCTGTTGCGTCAGGAAACCAATCTGAGTGGGAAATTGCTACTTATCCACGTCCTGGCTGTCATTCCTTAAATGCCTGATTCAGTGTTGATAACCTTGTCATCCTGGAAGCTTTGAAGGCTTTTAATACCTGCAAGACCAAGCTTTTCAGTGCTATTATACTCCCTTTCTTTTTCTAAATAGTAGGAGCTTTCTCTATGTCCTTTTCTTTAAAAAGCAGAAGAAATAGCTTTATATGACTCCTTTCCTAAATATTTGGACTGTTTTCTCAGCCATTTTACCTCTTTTTTTTATTATTTATTTTTCCTTTTCTTTTTAACAGAAAATAGCAGAAAAATCCAAAGCTTTGCTTCCCACTGGGCAGAGAAGCACCAAACACGTAAGTTCATGTGTCTTTGTGTTTGACAGTAAGTACAGTGCTAAAAAAAAGCTATTTTCTACCACCACTAATGATGCTGAAGAGCTTGGTGCTCCTCCACTGCCTACACTGAAGCCAGCGAGGTGTTTTTCCAACAGGCATGTGTGACGTCTTTGGAGGTGGAGGATACAGGACTCAGGAAAAAAAGACTTATATAAGACCTGTTTAATTATTCCCTGCTTTTCTGTTCTCGTGGGGCTGTTTTTCCATTCTTGATGGGAGTTTTTTCTACTATGAAATTTATGAAAAAGCAGTCCTGTATCCTCTTTCACTTGGAAATCACATTCCAAGGACAATTTCATAGCAGAGAATGAGAGGAATTTTTAGCAAACCTGTCCCCAGTTTTAAGAAAGATCACGTATTCTGCTTTCTTGTCTACTTTACAGTGTGGTTAACTATTATATACATATGCAAATAGAGCCTTTTTATTCTCTTTTTACCCATATTAGGAACTTTTTCAGTGAAAAAATACTGTATGGAATCAGAATATATACATATATGTTCTGATTTTTATATCCATATCCATACATACTGTGGTTACTGCATATATGGTGTATATGTTTATTTTCATACATGCAAGTGTATGTGTGTATAAAATATAATTAAATACATGGGTGCCTGTGAACATATGCAAATTTTAAGAATATAGAGATATAAATATAGATGTATAGATTTAAATATATGAAGATATGTATGTTTAAATATATATGTAAATATACATATGTGTGTTCCCTTTCACAAACAGTAATGCAAAATATTATATATATAAAAGGGGTGGGGGGTGTAAGAAATCACCACAGATTTCCAAGAGAGGTTTGATGTCAGGAGATCAGTTGTCTCCAGTAAGAATCCAAAAGGCATTAGATTGGTCTCTCAAATCCTACGTGTTAAAAATTTGTAGGTATCTGTAACTGATCTCATGCCAGTAAAAAGCAGAATTCTCTGCCTAATTTCAGTGATTATTTCTGTTATTCTTGATACTCTTTTAAAGCACAGTCAGCAGATTTTCTGCTTTCCTGATGGATTTTCATTCTTTACCTCGCCGTGCCACCTGGTTTTCTATAATCTCCTTAATGTATATGGGGCCTCTGGTGGTCTAGTGGTTAGGGTGCAGGACTCTCACCTCTGAGACCCGGGTTCCATTCCCAGCCCCCCGGGCAGATGGAGCTCGTCAGCCTTGTAAGGCAATCCATCTAAGAGAAGGTCACTCTAAACAAACCTACGTCCTGGGGACCTCACTGCCACTGTCCAAGCTTGCTTGGCCCCGGCAGATGAACCTCAGGATTAAAGGGTGGGCTCAGTTCAGCGCACGCTGTGTCTCACCTAAAAAAAAAATCCACTGCGCAGGCTCGAAGGGTTAATGACCTTTCCCAAATCTTCGCTCGCGAAGACTGGCCATTATTATTATTAATGTATATAAGAAATAGTTGTACTTTGTAACATTGATGCGTCTCTGTAAAGAAGGGTGGAATGATGCCACCAAAGATCCCAACATTAAGGCAAGTCAATGGACTAAAACTTTAATATTAACTACATTTCAAGCAATTACAATTCTGCCTTGGACCAAAACTTTAATATTAACGACATTTCAAGCAATTACAATTCTGCCTTGGACCAAAACTTTAATATTAACGACATTTCAAGCAATTACATTTCTGCCTTGGAGCTTAGTGTTGTGTAGTTGGTTTTAGGTGTCAGTGAAATGAAACTCAGGCCCCAAAGGACTGATGAATTCCTTTATCCTGGTTGGGAGTTTCCACCACCCCCTTTGGAGTGATTGTGCACAGATGTCACTATTCAGCTGTGAGTTTATAAAAGTTATCCAGTTTATTTTTGCCTATCAGCTGCTGATCTGTGATGACCATGGTCACAAACATCATGTCCTTTAACCTACAGCAAATATTTATTGGGTTTTATGGTTGAGCTCAGAGATAAGGAGGGTCATTTTGTGCAAATTAGCTGTGATTTGTTTTCATGCTCTATTGCATCGTTTCTTGGGCTTTTAACTAACTTTGTTAGACTGTTATTGGTGGAGTGGATTGCAGAGGAGGGAACAGCTCTGATCTTGCCTGGACTACCATGTGGTTTCATGGCCATGGCTATTCCATAGGATTTGGGACACTGCTGGCTATTAACAAGTGTAAATAGGATGAAGAGTGCTAATTAGTGCACCTGGAGCAAGCCTGGATGAAATCAACTTTTTTGGTGTATTGACAATGGTTGATGACTCCAAAAATAACCTTCTCTGGAAGCTAATGGAGTTTTAATAGAGGGAAAAAAATAGGATGTAAGACAAACATGCTCAAATCTTGAGGCAAGTGATGGTGTGGTTGGAAGAAAAGGGAGGCTGGAGGAAGAAGAGGACAGACAAACCCCTTTGCATTAAAACAGGTAAGAATACAACCACTAGGGGACTGTAGCAGTGCCAATCTGCTGTGGGACAGGCAGCATCAGCAGAGATTGGGTTGGATCAACTGCAGGTTGTTTCTTCTTGTGGCTGTTACTTGCTGGGGGTTTCAGTGGATTGTGGAAAAGGAGGTTATATTTTGCCCTTGGTGAGATGGTTCTGACTCAGAAATAGGCTGGATCACACTCAAGAGCACAAACTTTCCATGCAGTGACACTTGCTCAGGCTGGGGACGAAGGAGTCTTCATGCAAACTGCTTGAAAAGGATGAAAATTCAGTCACATCTGCTTCAACTTCCCTATACTTTTGCAGCTTCACATCTTCTCTTTTTCCTCCTTCAAGCACAAAAAGGGGAGAAATTAAAAGTACAAAACCTGCTGAAGGCAATGCAGTGGTTGGTTTTTACTTATTATTTTCCCAGCTGCAGTTTGGTCAGGACAGGCAGAATTATAGTTCCCACAGGAACTGGAGCCTGACCACTATGTGCATGTATTAGGGCAGTAATGCAAAATTCTACATATGTTCAGGAGACCTGATTTATGAGTCCTGTGAAACCACAGAGTGACTCGGTGCAGACCCAGTCTTGATTCAAACACTGTTTGCCTGCAGGGCTTTGTTCTATTTTATTTATGCTTTAATTTATTACAGCAAGTTGTAAGAGGCCTGAAGAATGCTTGTTTTTCTAGATGCATGTCCCTGTAGTTCCCCTCTTCCATTGGTGAGTAGGAAAGATAAGATGTTTGGTAACATAAACCCTAATAATTTCCATTTAGGGAGCAATTGATTCCCTAGACCCACATAACAGGTAAAAATTGCCAAGTGAAGCTTTGGGAGAATTAGTTTCCTGCCCATTGTGGTTTGCTGTAAGTACTCTTTAATTGAGTTTATTTGTTTATAAAAGCAAAATAAAAGCATTGATCCAAAATTCCTTGAAGCCTGAAGTTATATAAATTCTTAATCAAATATGTGTTTGTAGGAATGTGCTTGTTTATAGACAAATCAATGTAGTTCTGTGGGTGCATATATTGAAAGACACAATTTTTTACTACGCTAAATGATCATTGTTGGACGTGCCTTGTGGCAACTATTAAAAGTAAAAAAAAGTCCCTTCCCTTGAATCTGTGAAAGTAATTTTAAATATTCACCCACTGGCCAAAATGAGACCTCAGAAGGCTCATTAAGAGAGTGCCCAGGGGAATCCTGGAAAGGAGTTTTCAATTTAGGGGAATTGCTGGTGCAGTAAACAGAGACAGTGTTTGGTGATATGGTCACCTCTGCTTTCTGACTGTGTGTGGAGCAGATGGGCTTCAAATCCCACTTCTTCTCCTGAACACACCATGGTGAAAACCAATTGTTCCTCCTTCCAGGCAGAGCCCACTGTAGGAGAAGGAATATTTCAGGTGTCCCCTGGAGCCTGGGATGGTGTGGTCAGGGCTAGGAGAGGCTGGACACCTGAGCAGACGTAGGTGAAATCCATCCCACAGTGCAACAATTGGATAGAATATAATATGATAATGCTTTAATAGCACAGAATAGATTATCCGTAATATTAAAATAATAAATGATAGCCTGAGGAAAACCCACAACAGCCAATAATGTCTCTGAGCACAGGAGATGAAAAGAATCCTTCTTTTTAATTCTTATTTTAATTCTTTATAATTATTGTGCATCCAACATCATCTGCTTCCGATAGAAAGAACCTGTTATGTGCCCATGGTTGAATAAATTCTAGTTCCAGATATTAAACCCAGGAGCAGACAAGGCTGAGAAGCTGAAGGCTCCCCAGGATTCATCTCTGGTAGTTCCTGGCAGGGATGGCTGAGTTTCTTCATACTTTAAGGCATCTGTGACATGTCTTTGGGCCACCTCCATCCTTCCTGGATCCTCACTGACCACACTGAGCCATCTTAGTCATCCAAGCAACCTGGTCTACTGGAAGGTGTCCCTGCCCATGGCCAGGGGTTGGAAATGATCTTTCAGGTCCCTTCCAATCCAAACCATTCTGTGATTCCATGAAATTCTATCTTCTCAGCTAATGAGGAGCAAAGTGGTCTTTCTCACCGTGTAGACTTTGTGGGTGGTTCCCCCAAGGGAGTGGGAGAAGGGGAAGCACAGGCTCTGTTTGAGCTGGGGAATGAGTTTTAAAATAAAAACCACATAAAAAATCTGAGCAAACTTTTTTTTTTTTTTTTCCTGAAGGAAACTTTTCCTGGCGATATTTAGAAATTAAAATTACAGTAATTGTCATAGTTTAATGGCATCCCTCTTCATTTCCTGCTGCTCATGGGGAGAGGAAAGGATAATTACTGCTGTGGAACATGGCAGTTGCCATAAAGATGCCTTTGTTTCCTATTCCATAAGCCTACTTGACCCATCTCTCAGAGGTCACTAAATTATGTTTCTTAGGAGCACAAAGATGGGTAATAAACCTCTATTTGCATATACAAGCTTTTTTTCTCCTGACTGCATCAATTTATTCTTACTTTAAGTGGACTTCCTTCTCGCAGGAAGCATCATTTCTCTCTTCCTTCCTGTGTTTATGAAGTTGTTCTTT